CCACAGAGTCTTTACTTTTTTTTTTTTAGTTTTTATAATCATTTTTTATTTCTCGATATCGTATAATAATAATAATAAAATATATCTTGACAAAGACATGCACTGCAAAACATTGATGGTTTGTCAGCAAACAAAAAAAAAAAATATGGGCAAAGCTCGGTGGCTTGCTTTCACGACGCTGGTAAGATAGATAAGTGATTTTTTTTTTTTTTAAATTGTTTGCATTACGTTGGAAACAATATTTTTTTATTTTTTTTAAACAATTAAAGGAAATATAACATGTAATACAAATGCTTAAACGATTTATATTTCTTAAGTAATTATTTTTAATCCATAGCCATTTTATACCATGTTTAAAATAAGTTAAAGTCATATTTACGCTGCGCCTGCAAAAAAAGGAAAACGCTTTTGCTTAGTCGAAATGAGTGCACATTAAAATGACGTGCGTGACTTTACAACACAAATTAAGTTATTAGTGGCATTCAACAGATGAATTAATAGAACTTGTAACGTGATATAGTAAAGAAAAGAAAAGACAAACTCCGATAATATTTTCCACCTGCAGCGCATTATGGTAAATACACAATTCAGGGCACTTTTACTTCTTCTACTTTTTCTTTTTTTCATTAGCTTGAAGTAAAGCACAATTTCGAAGAAAGCTTAGATTCGCTGCTTAATGCATTTCTATTTACTCAACACGCAAGATTATCCCCAAGAGTAGGGAAGATTCATTGCGCTTTGTGTATAATATAAACAACAACTACAAAAGAGTAGATAGATGTCTTTTGACATCTAACACTTGCATGATTTTGTGGTTTTTTTTTAAGAAATGCAGTGCTCAGCGCCGTCAAGCAGCATACCAAGGAAGGCGGGACTATATGACATAATATATAAATTAATTAGTATCACTTACAAACAAATCAGAAAAGTATAACTATTGATGTAATAAAAATATTACCACATAACTATTTTAAGGGCTAATTGAATTTCCCAGTTGAAGAGGACGAAGAGCAAATAAACCTTCGTTACAAACTTATTGACATATACTTCGCTACCTAAAAAAAAACATTCGACTAGCTTGTGTGACGTATATTCTTTATGGCAATAATAAAACTGCTTTATACTCCTAACGAGAGCATTATTGTGCAGACGAAAATCTAAAAACAAACTAAAATGTTTATTACATTCTTCTCATTCAGGAGCTGCATGTCTATGTCATGTTTATATTTGATGCTGTCAATATATTCTCCCGTTTTATGTGAAGTCATGTCAGGTAGTGCGTTAAGATGCTCTAGACTGGGAACATGTTTGTACAGATGTTGTTTTTTAGTTGATTTATTTAAATTATAAAATAAATAAGTGCAGTGAGCATAGATCAGATATCATTGTTTAAAGGCAAACTGAAACTTTACAGCCATCGAACCAATCATAGTCCTTCACCTTATTATTAAACACTTACACAGTTTACACATGCGACCAGGTCCCTTCTGTATAGGGGTTTCAAATTAATTAGTTCATATGTTTTCCATTATGTTATCAATTTAATGCTCAACTGTGACTCAATGTCAACGCCCTTAGGTTCAAGAAGAAGAAACATAAGCTTCTGAAAAGGTCCCGAGGCGTTTTACCTCTCCACGTGGAATTTGTAATCAAAGGAATGACAGCGTATATGTCAAATGTTTTTAAAAGAAATTTTCGAAGGAGGAAAGTTTCTGGTAACAAACGTATGTTTACAGTGATTTTGGATATTTTCATCTGGTCATCTAATAAATAGTTTCCATGAACTAGAAATTCATCTCAAGAAAACTTCGCTGTAAGTGTTCTTATCCTTTTCTATTTTGGAATGGCAATAATAGTTCTATCAAATTTCTTGGCTTACATATTGACCAAAGATTAACATGGAAGAATCATATAAAAGCTAAACCTTGTCAACTAGACTTAAAAACTAGAAGACTCCTTGAACTAAATCGTCGCAAATTCTATTGGCTAATTCGTCCAGAATCTCAACTCAATCTAAGATGTAAATGCGTTTTATACAACATTTCCTTCGACCTGTTTGGACATGTGACACACAACGGTGGAAAGCAGTCAGTAACACTAATATTGAAATACTACAAAAATATCAAACCAAGACTATTTGTTTTACTGTTAATGCCCCGTTAGCAACAAAACTGTTTACGGTCATATGGATCTTCGATATGTTAAAAAACGAATTCAATGGACCCTTCAAAATATCTTGTCACCCAAATCTCTTGGCAATATATCTTTTAGATCAATCAAATAAAGTAAGAGGATTTCAAAAAACATATTATGCTGGATTTTCCACTTAGAAATTAATTTATTTTTATTCCTTAAATTATTATTATTATTATTATTATTATTAATTTCGCCAGAGAACGAATTCTAAGACTAAACTCTTAAAAGCACTAGCATCTAAGGCTATCGGCTCTTATTAAAAACTCTACAGCACTTGAGATTCGAACCCACGTCCATTGACTTGCTTCGGCTACTCAGGCGGATATTCCTTAAATTATTTGGCGAAGTTTACATAGTTTTTTTTATTCACATATTATGTTTGTATTGTTATATTATTTCTATTTGGGTGGATAATAATCCCTCTTATCTTTCTCGCCTTGCTATCATTTTTATAAATAAATTTTA